CAGTCCTGGGGTTTGAACTCAGGGCTTGGGCACTGTCCCTGAGCTCTTTTTGCTAAAGGTTAGTGCTCTACCACTTCGAGCCATAACTCTGCTACTGGTTTGGGGGTAGTTAATTTAATTGGAGGTAAGAGTCTCACGGGCACTTTTCTGCCCAGGCTGGCTTCGAACCTTGATCTTTAGATCTCAGCCTCCTGAGTAGCTAGGATTACAAGTGTGAGCCACCAATACCTAGCTGACCAGCCTTATTTTATAAAATTGTTGTGAAGATTAAAATGAATCCTGAAAGTAAAGGGTGCTTGTATTGATATCCAGTACATATTAAATAAATATTGCCCCTAATAATAAGTAACTATTATTCCTTACATGTTGCTTACACTCAGATGCTTATAATCTTTGGGCATATCTATTTTCCTTTACTGTTGATACTCAGTAGTCTTCAAATCCCAGATGCCCTAGTTTTAAATTTAGGTGATGGTGTTTTAAATTAATATGGTACACCTGCTTTGACCTGATTAAAAAGAACTAGATTATTTTCCTTTAAGTATTGTCTTCCTACTTTTAAGAAAATCAAATAATTATGTACTTCAATGGCTTTTTTTCTTTCTAAATTTGATAATTTAAAAGGAAACTTTTTTTTTCTCTCCACTCTTCCCCTACTGGAAACATTTTTTTTTAAGCTCTTCTTGCTTAGATATAATTCAAATATTTGGGATTCCCCCCCCCCCCCCCCCGTCCTGGCCTTGAACTCTCTGGGCCTGGGTGCTTGCTCCTTTTGCTTAAGGATAGTACTCTGCCACTTGAGCTACAGCAGTCCTCATATCTCAGCCTTCTGAGTAGCTCGGATTATAGGTGTGAGCCACCAGCTCCTGGCTAGGAATTTTTGAATACTAAAATGAGACAACTGACTGGGAATGTAGCTTAGTGGTACAGTGCTTGCCTAGCATGCATGAATCCCTGGGATCGATTCTTTAGTACCACACAAACAGAAAAAGCCAGAAATGGTGTGATAGAGTGCTAGTCTTGAGCAAAAGAAGCTCAGGGACAGTGCAGAGGCCCTGAGTACAAGCCCCAGACTGGCAAAAAAATAAAATGAGACAAGTACTTAGGCTCTGGCACCAGTTTTGCTGCTCTGTAACATAAAGACCCTTAATTTCTTGGTTTCATCTGCTATACTGTCTGGTTAAAGTATTGAACTTCATTTAAGTTTTATAAACCATTATAAAATGCTGTGTGTTTCACTTTTTCCTGCATAGAACTCTCTAAAATGCTCAGGTTTTAGTCATTTTACTCAAACTTTACTCATGAAGGGACTGCTACTGCATTCTATTGGATTAAAACTTATTGAAAACAATAGCTTATAATAGTAGAGTTGGAACCAGAGAAGAATTAATGATACTAAGCCTCGAAGATTTTATACTTCGGAGGAGTTATGAATTATAGACTCAGAAATTTAAACCCAGAGATGAACTGATGCATTTGATGGTGCTAATCCATGTTTATATAAATAAGAGCAAGTCTATGCTTCTGAACATTTTCACTTTTTGCAGTTAACAGATAGAAAGGCAGGATATATCAAGAAAATGTAACAGAGGACTAAATCATAATAAAAAAGTTGATGACTGCAAAGGCTTGATTTACTTTAAGTTATGGTAGCTTGGTTTATTTATACAATGAATAGGTAACCTTGACATTTAGAAGGCCTCTGACCAGCTGACAAGTTTAATTTGCCTGTACAGTGTTTCATATTTAAGTTATCATCAGTATTTAAAACTTGTAGTTGCTGGAGCCAGTGGCTCTCTCCTTTAATCCTAGTTACTCAGGAGGCTTGGATCTGAGGATCATTGTTCAAAGCCAGCCCAGGCAGCAAAGTCCATGAAACTTTTTTTGTTGTTGTTGGTCATGGGGCTTGAACTCAACCTGGGCCCTGTACCTGAGCTCTTTTGCTCAAGGGTAACACACTTTGAGCGATAGCTCCACTTCCAGTTTTTGAGTGTTTAATTGGAGATTAGGATCTCATGGGGACTTTTCTGCTCGAGCTGGCTCTGAACTGTGATCCTCATATCTCAGCCTCTTAAGTGGTAGGATTATTGACAAGAGCACCTGTGCCCGCCACAAAACTCTTTTATCTTCAGTTAACTACAAAAGGTGAAAGTGGAGCTGTGGCTCAAGTGGTAGAGTGTTAGCCTTGGACAAAAAAAAAGGCTCAGGAACAGTGCCTAGACCCTGAGTTTAAGCCCTAGGATTGGCACAACAAAACAAATTGAAAACAAACAAAAACCAAAACAAAACCCTGAAGTTTTATTTAAAAGGCCAAATTTGGGATCCTTGTGTGTTTCTTCTCTTTGTTTGCATTGTCTTACTGTAACTGACAAGAAGGTAAGTGTTCTAAAATATACTGACTTGGGCTTAAGGAAGAACCATCATTCCTTTTCTTTCTCCTGAGTCTGCAGAGATTATTCTTTCTGTTTGTGTTCAGTCTCTTCACAAGTTAGAGTTCACTAGATTATTGGAATTTTTTTTTGGGGTCAACTGCAGGGCTTGAACTCGGGGTGTGGGTGCTGTCTCTGAGATTTTTCACTCTAGGCTAGTGTTCTACCACTTTGAGCCACAGTGCCACTTATGGTTTTTTGGTAGTAAATTGGAGATAAGAGTCTCACAGACTTTCCTGCCAGGGCTGGCTATGAACTGAAGTTTGCTTTTTATTTTATTTTTTTTCTTTTTTCGTTACCTGAACCTTTTTCATTAGCTCATTGATTTCCTTCTAGTTTTACTTGTGACAAGGGTTACATAATGGCACTTTTGTATCTATATATAGAATGGTGGGAGAGCAGAAAGAGAATTATTTGGACTCCTGGGGGAGATCTGAGACTCTGAGGATGTATAGGACTTGAGAAGGTTTTTATTTCAGAGGGGTAATATTGTGGGCAAAAGCAACAACATAGAAGTAGGTAGAAGAATGTTTTGAGACCAG